TCCCTACATAAAAAGCAGCTACCAGACTCCTTAACTCTGAGTAAACTCTGTTTGTTTCGGAATAAGTGTCTCTAAAAGGGCAAACATGGGCAAAATTTGAAACACTTATTTATCCAAGGCCAGATGCATGCTAAAGTAAGTCCTTCTCAATACAACATACAATATTTAGAACCACCCTTGTACTCAGTATCCATTTTACTTTGATTACATGGGAGAAAGCAAAAGAGTGGTGTACACCACTCCAGGACATCCATGTTAAGTTTTCCCCTGACAGTAGAAGAGTATGCACTTCACTGCTATTACATTTTGTATACAGATGATTCAGTTATTCCAAGAAAAATATTTAGTTCTTGCATAGGAACTTTACCAAAATGCAGTTAAAACTGCTTAAAGGAAAAAAAGAATGCTTATTAGGCAAACCCTCACAAGCAAATAAATAACCAGTTAAAGCTTTAAAAATAATAAAAACAGTAATAAAAAAACAGCATACCACCTTATCCTTCCACATTTAATACAGCATTCTTTTTTTCTTTCAGTACTCTTCAAGTCTGGTCCAGTTTGCATTTTAAAACAGTCACAAACTTCAAGAACATAAGGGGGGAAGAGTATGTGTATGCTTGCCCTGGTCTTTGCTCTTCCCTAAGAATCCACTTTGGCCACTGCTAGAGACATGACATCTGATCAAACTCACATCCACCATTTTTATATCCCTGTGTTCCCAGAGGACAGCTAAAATTACTGAGCACAGAATATCTTCATTCCCAGTAATGGCATGTTTCCTACACATACAGTAAAAGGTTTCAACTCTACTTCCTCCTCCTCTACCACAAAATCAAGGAAAAAAAAGTTAGCAAAAGATAGTATTTACCTCTCCACGTTGAGCTTCTTGTATTCGGGTAAATCTGAGGTCAGCATGTTCCCAGTTTGCATTTACACTATATATTCTCAGCTGGGAAAGTTCAAATGAAGCATTAAAGGCTTTTGCACCAATCCTTATTATAATGGAGTTCACAGAAACCGAAATGCCTTCGACCACTTTTTCAGCAAAGCCATATTCACTAAAAAGTGAAATGCCAACATATTAAAAACACACCTAATGAAGGGGCATAAAATTAAACTTAATAAACAGCTGAAATACAACATGAAACAAACCATAATGTTCCTTATGTATTGTCCAGTTATGAATTTTTGTTCAATATACTTGATCTAGTTTCCACTGGTTTCCACCCTATTATCCTATTCTCAAAATAGTCATTAAAGAACATATTTTGGACCAAGATCAATCTCCATGAAGTATAACAATTTATGTAATTTTTCCATTATAAATATTTTATATTTATATATATGTAAAAATGTATAAAAAATAAAACAA